AGAGAGATCGCGAGAGAGATCGAGAGGAAGAGAGCAGAGGGAGAGAGAGAGAGAATGTGGAAGGAAAGGAGAGATGGGGAATGGAAAAAGAGGATATGATGGCTTGCTCGTACTTGTTTGCTACCGCCCGAGGCTGGCGCGGATAACAAAAGACGGACGCGCGGCGCTGCCGTGAGCGGTTGACCCCGCGATATGAAAACTAAACTTATTTCTCATCGGATGTTTTCTCTCAAAATTGGCGCGCGCCACTGCAAACTGGTTCCACCCGCTCGCGAGTGTGTGTGTGTCAAACCGTGCTGCTCTATGCGGCCCTGCGCCCTGGGGGCCGGCGCAGCCCCTCTTATGCACCCCCCTCCCTCCAAACGCCCTTGCTGGCCGCAGAGTGAGCGATAGAGAAAGAGAGAGAGAGCAGTCTTCCGCGCGGATGACCTTAGAACAACATCATCAGCTTTTGCGGTTCTGAAGAGAGCGAGAGAGAGAAAGGGAGCAAGAGAGACAGAGCGAGAGCTCTGGGCATGGGCATGGGGGTTCGGAGCGGCGAACTGCTTGCTGCAGGCGCAGAGAGCGCGTACGTGTGTGAGTGTGTGTTTATCAGCTATTACATCCATTATGTATTCCCCCCGTGCAGCCCGCGGTGCACCAACGGCCGCCCGCGGGAAACTCTCTCTTTTGGCGCCGCGCACTCTAATTGGTAAAGTTTCGGCGGGGCATCGAGAGCACCACCACCGACATTCTACGGCTACGGAATGCATAACGTGCGATTCCTCTCGTTCAAACTTCTACTCACACCGGCCTGATCGCACCGTATCGCACCGTACTTCCTCATCGGAGGGGTGGTGGTTGGGTGGTTGGGTGGTTGGGTGGTCGGTGATGGTGGTGGTGGTGCTTCGGGCGGTCGTGACGACGTGCGATATGGATGCACCGCAACCACCAACAAGAACAATAAAACAACGGCTCGAATAATAATAACAACAACAACAAAAGGCCGCGCATTTTCCGCTCTTCTCACGCCGCTCAGCCGCATCGCCAGCAGCAGCGGTGGCACGGCCTGCGCGGCACGGATGAGCGCCTCAAGGAGCGGCGCTGCGCTGCGCTGCCGGTGCGTTATTAGATTAATGGTGGCGGCCACAGCAGTGCCTCATGCAGCTGGCGCGCGGGCAGCAAGGTGCACTACCACTGCATTAGGTGCATTACACGCCGCTGTCACAGAGCAGCGCGTCACCGTAAACGTGTCGTGTTTCACGCCCGCGCTTCATGTCGAGCGCAGGAATTCCAAAACTTTAATGCGCGCATCGGGTCGCAAATAATAGAGGAAATAAGTTTGTATAGTACAGAAACTATATTGCAAAAGCAGTTGCTAGAAAACGTTATTTTAACATTCCGATGTTCTGTTCCATACATTTCATAGTTTGAATATTCTCGATCATATTGAATTTTTGAGCTTTAGAAAGTTTTGAACGGTTGCGAAAGCCTTCGTTAAGATCGTTCCTCGCATAACCGTCCCCCTAGTCGGCTGCTGCAGAACCCGATGCAGTCACTTTTTATTTCCCAGGTCCACTACAACTAGCTTGACCGCAATTAGGAAGGCGGGCAGGCAAGCGGGAGCATCCATCGTGACGGGGCACACCATCCCTCTGGTCTCTGGCCGGCGGCGGCGGCGGCGCTGGCCGCCCGAGGGGTTCCCAGGGTGGTTCCCACCCGGGTGCGCTATGACTCTCCCGCGCCGCCACGCCCCCCGCTCGGCCGCGCCGCCCTACTTGGAGGCGCAGCGGACCGTGAGGAGGGCAGCAGATGACGCCGCCCGTCCTCGGCCGCCGCCCCCTCTCCTTGCCCCGCGCCGGCCGCGCCTGCCTACGTCTCAAGGACGCGCTCCCGCCCGCTCCCGCCGCCGCCTCTCCCCCGGCCCGGAGAGCCCGGCCGGCCCAAGACGGCCTTGGCGGGGGGCGAGGAGCAGAGGCCGTCAAGGCGATGAGGCCCTGGACTGACTGGTGACGCCCCGGGGGTCCGGCTGTTGCATGCGGCTCCGCTCCGCCC